CCATCCATCTCCATCCTCTGACAAACAGAGGCTAGGGCCACCATTCCTTACCCATCCTGGCTAATAGCCATTAATGGACTTAACCACCATGAATTTATCCAGTTCTCTTTTAAACGCGGTTATAGTCCTAGCCTTCACAACCTCCTCAGGTAAGAAGTTCCACAAGTTGACTGTGCACGGCGTGAAGAAGAACTTCCTATTATTTGTTTTAAACCTGCTGCCTATTAATTTCATTTGGTGACCCCTAGTTCTTGTATTATGGGAATAAGTAAATAACTTTTTCTTATCCACTTTCTCCACATCACTCATGATTTTATATATCTCTATCATATCCCGCCTTAGTCTCCTCTTTTCCAAGCTGAAGAGTCCTAGCCTCTTTAATCTCTCCTCATATGGGACCCGTTTCAAACCCCTAATCATTTTAGTTGCCCTTCTCTGAACCTTTTCTAGTGCCAGTATATCTTTTTTGAGATGAGGAGACCACATGTGAACGCAGTATTCGAGATGTGGGCGTACCATTGATTTATATAAGGGCAATAATATATTCTCAGTCTTATTCTCTATCCCCTTTTTAATCTTATTCTCTAGCCCCTTTTTAATGATTCCTAACATCCTGTTTGCTTTTTTGACCGCCTCTGCACACTGCGTGGACATCTTCAGAGAACTATCCACGATGACTCCAAGATGTTTTTCCTGACTTCTTGTAGCTAAATTAGCCCCCATCATATTGTATGTATAGTTGGGGTTATTTTTTCCAATGTGCATTACTTTACATTTATCCACATTAAATTTCATTTGCCATTTTGTTGCCCAATCACTTAGTTTTGTGAGATCTTTTTGAAGTTCATCACAGTCTGCTTTGGTCTTAACTATCTTCAGCAGTTTAATATTGTCTGCAAACTTTGCCACCTCACTGTTTATTCATAAATGATCTGGAGAAAGGGGTAAGTTGAATAGGATTGGTCCGAGGACTGACCCTTGGGGAACACCACTAGTTACCCCTCTCCATTCTGACAATTTACCATTAATTCCTACCCTTTGTTCCCTGTCTTTTAACCAGTTCTCAATCCATGAAAGCACCTTTCCTTTTATTCCATGACAGCTTAATTTACATAAGAGCCTTTGGTGAGGGACCTTGTCAAAGGCTTTCTGGAAATCTACGTACACTATGTCCACTGGATCCCCCTTGTCCACATGTTTGTTGACCCCTTCAAAGAACTCCAGTAGATTAGTAAGACACGATTTCCCTTTACAGAAACCATGTTGACTATTGCTCAACAGTTTATGTTTTTCTATGTGTCTGACAATTTTATTCTTAACTATTGTTTCGACTAATTTGCCCGGTACCGATGTTAGACTTACCGGTTTGTAATTGCCGGGATCACCTCTAGAGCCCTTTTCAAATATTGGCGTTACATTAGCTAACTTCCAGTCATTGGGTACAGAAGCCGATTTAAAGGACAGGTTACAAACCTTAGTTAATAGTTCCGCAACTTCACATTTGAGTTCTTTCAGAACTCTTGGGTGAATGCCATCTGGTCCTGGTGACTTGTTAATGTTAAGTTTATCAATTAATTCCAAAACCTCCTCTATTGACACTTCAATCTGTGACAATTCCTCAGATTTGTCACCTACAAAAGCCGGCTCAGGTTTGGGAATCTCCTTAACATCCTCAGCGGTGAAAACTGAATCAAAGAATCCATTTAGTTTCTCCACAATGACTTTATCGTCTTTAAATAAATCATCATTATAAATAAATAAATGTAAATAAATCATCATTATATCAGAAGCTCAGGGCTTTTCTTTTTTTAGAGGGAGAGAAGAGGAATTGGTTACAAATTAATTAATTATGAACTGCTAAACCAGAACAGCTCAGAATTGCTTATGGTCTGTTTTTTTCTTATCTGAGCATCTGGTCTGTGGAATCATATCAGTAGCCATAGCGCTCCCAGTTGGACAGCAAAACCACTCATCTGTCCAACTGAATTAAGATTTTACTGATAAAACAGTTTCAAATATCTGTTCTCTCAAAAGTTACAATGCGCCTAGAAGTTGTATTTTTGGAGTAGGATTCCTTTACCAAGGAAGATCCAGTAAATATACTAGTTGTCTGTAAAATGCCAGGCACACCTATAGATATAAATATATCATAATTGCATTTACTGTAACTTTTTACATAAAATATGTATAACCTTTCAAAACTTTAAGAAATACAGTACTACCTATGAGACACACCCCCTTTATGCGGCAAGTTTTCTGTTTTAAGAAATCACAAAAAAGTAACCTCAAACATACAGCCTATTCTTCTGCTTGATTATTACAATGTCCCTTTTGTTAAGCAATCCATTTCTGTCAGTCTCTTGAGTGGTCACTTAAGACAGGTTTTAAGGTACCTGTCATGGCTTTACTGCCTCCGTAACTGAGTGGTGCCAACAGGTCTCTTGGAGACACTTGAAATTCTCTCAATAACTTCCTACTGAAGATCCATTCTGATGAGTTAGATTGGAACAGACACTGCAGCTCCCCACAGTAGACTTTCAAAGTTAATTTTACCTTTTATTACTTTTACTGTGTTAAAAAACAACAACATAACATTTGAGAAACAGAACTTACTTTAATATTCACTTGTGTATACAGTTTGACCCTACTGACTTTGAAGTCAGTGTTAAAACTCCCATTGATTTTAATGGCGTAGAATTGGACCCGAAAAGCATTTTGAGAACCCTGGAAGTATGGCATTAATGAAATGAAAAATGTTATTCTAGTGACTTTAAAGGTGTTCTGCTTTGTCGTGTATTCAAATGGAAGGTTCAGTCCACTATCCTACTCTATCATTTAAATGAAATGGTAGAAACAGGTTTCATAGATTCTATGGCCAGAAGGGACCATTGTTATCATAGTCTGACCTCCTGTATTACACAGACAGAGAACTTTCCCAAAATAATTTCCAGAGCAGATCTTTTAGAAAAACATTCAATCTTGATTTAAAAACGGTCAGTGATGGAGAATCCACCACGACCCTTGGTAAATTGTTCCAATGGTTAATTACTCTGACCAATATTGTGGTCTAGTGGACTGAGCACAGAATGCGGGGGATGGGAGAGTCTGATTTCTGACTTGTAATCACGATTAACACTGCCCCTTCCTTGGCCTAAAGAAAATCACTTAACCTCCCTAACTTCAACTGCCTCCCCATCTGTAAAATGGGGTTAACAATACTTACTAGTAGGGATGTTATGAAGATTCTCTGGTCAATGACTACAATGAGTGAAAAGCGAGACTACCTACAGAAGTCAAGTTGCAACAATCAGTTAGGAATAATAATTAATTATTATGAAATTTTATTTTTCACTTGCTTTTACATTGCTTTGTAATGGGATGCAATGATTGGAGTATTGGACATACACGTTTGTAGCTTTACTTTAAATAGGTACATATATATTTTTGCACCTCTTTGTGAAGACGTTAGCTGCAAGGCCTTCTTTTTCACAAGGCCTGAACTATGTGCTCGCTGTACAAGCTCCAAACAAAATCCTTAATGTAAAAGTCCCTTCAAAGAAGGCAGATTCCTTTGTTGCAGGTCACCAGGACCCCTGCTGCTCAGTGGCAGCTAAATGAATTTGGAGTTTCTGTAATTTATGCACTCCATATGGACGTTGGATAGAAACTTTCAAGGGATAACAGTGGCTGACACATCACATGGAAATAAATCTTGAGGAAAGGCCTATAAACAGTCTTTGAAGACACCGGTTATTAAAAAAGTGCACCTTCCTCAAAAAAATCAGCATCCATCAAGTTTATTTGTATTAATTAGCACATTTTCATGTCTCCTGTCTTAAGCAATGTTTACAAAGCTATAGGGATCAGGTTCAAATAACATCACTAGCTCTCCAAGTCCTGATTAAATAAAAAAAAAGGATATGTGCCCCTGAAGAGCTGAAAGGCAGTGAAACTTGTAGCTCATTAGTCAGGACTGCTAGCATGCTCCAGGTCATATTATGTTTGTGCCCTATGAAATGTTTTTAATAGCAGTGTGATCACTGAACTTCTCTAGAGCATGGGAAGAATCAAAGCAGGATAACTGTATAGAAATCATGACATTTCCAACAAGTGTAAAAATAAACCAAAATTAAAGCGAAGCGACAGACAAAGCTAGGCTTTATCTGCATGGAATGGAAAATACCACCATGGGCAGGGAATTTAAATGTTCAGACTGCTTCTACCATCTCACTGACATACTTAAAATCTGTGAAAATATATCAACAATTATAAGAAAAATATTAATTCAATTGTCCACTTAGGAAAATGCATTAAATAAACTTCATGTACAGAATTGCTCATCTGGTCAGGTGTTATTGGGTTTTTTGGTTTATTTTGGGGTGGGGGGGAAGGGAAGGAAAGGATTTTGTATTCTCTTCAATCATAACATACTGGACTAGATGAAGTGATTTTCTGACCGAGGCTGGCAACTCATGTTCCTACAGCAATATACTAAATTCTAAGGAAAACAAAATTGAACACCAGCTGAGAAACAGGGTAAGACTTGCTTGATAAGGAAGATGGACTAGATGGTACTATGTTCTTCTTGTCTAACATTTCTACCTATATATTTGTTCAGGCTTTCCTGTCAATGTAGTTCCAGAGTTTCCTAGCACTTTAACCATCAGCTGAGCAATCTGTCTCGGGTCTTTTCAGTGAAGTGAACGTGTTGCTGCAGTTGGGTCACAATCTATGTGCCCATAATTTTTACAAAAAGGTTGTTCGGTACTTTTTCTCTTATAAATATGAGTTAACCAAATACCATGGTGATGGGCAGTTTATTCATTATTAATGATAAAAATCTATTATCTGATTATCTTGTGCCAAAGCATATTTGCAAAACCCTTTGAGTGAAAACCTGGCCCCCATAAAGTTAACATAAATATTCCCATTGACTTAACAGAGCCAGGATTTCAGCCTTCATTATTTATCCCTGGAGGAGCATTTGAAATTGTACCTACCGAAACTGTTATCACTGCTCGTTGGCCAGGAGGCTATTCTGTCCCTTAACAACTTCTTTTTACAAGAGTCATCTGATTTCACGGAAAGTTCCACTTCCTCTTTCCTGATTTCTCGCACAAGCTGCATGCGGCACCGAGTAAAATCCCGAAAGGAAATCTTCCCATTTTCATCTGCTCCTAGTTGGTGCATGATCTCAGCAACAGACTCCTCCATATTCAACTGACGGCACACCATCAGCAAGTCATTCCTGCGCGGGGGCAGAGGGGGAAGGGAGGAGAAGAGAAAAAAGCAATTTAGTTCATAAAACAATGCTAACCCTGTCTAATCTGGAAATCCATTTATTCACAGACATTTAAATCTAATACAGCAGCTTTGAATTTTGTGAATCCAATAAAGGAACTGTGAGGTCGGCAGATTTCAATCATGGGAATAATGCCTGAACCAAGTAAAGTTCTGAACTCCCGTTGCTTCTCAGCAAAGCTACACGCAACAACCCCGATGAGGTTGTATGTCCAGATTGTAACCATATTTACCAGAAAGATTTAGACTTCTATTCAGTTATGCCGAAGCAAAACATACCACAGAAAGAGCAGAAAAGGAGGAAAATACTAAAAACAATATTAATGTATAAATCCCCAATTGTACAGTTACTAACATTTCTATTATCAGAGATCTACAGAGCCAATGAGAACTGAACCTTGCACCATTACACCGATGCTCCCCCAACTGTGGTTCGCAACCCCAAACAGGGTCCTAGGTCCAACGAGGCAGATTTGCCCCATGAGACACTGCCATCTGCCCCAAACATATCCAGGCCTGCTCTACAAACACCAAGCCAGGAGGCTGCCATTTTATTCTACAAAATGGTGGACTAAAAACAGCGTGATGTCACACATACAGTGCGTGTAAAAAAACAGCTTCTTGGCATGGCGTTGGTGGAACAGGTGCAGGCATGTTGGCTGTGTGGAGGTGGCTGTGCAGACACCATTTTGCTATTTGCATATCTAGCTGTGCAAGCATCCAAGTGAAAGACTAATCCAGTTCCTGGTGAGCAGCAGCCTTATCAACAGAGCCTCCTCTCTGCTTGAGTTGGTTGGAGCCTGTGCTAACTTTTCTGAGATGGGAATCTGCATTGGCTTGTAAGCACCTTAAGGCAAGGCCCATGTTTTCTTTTATGCTAACCAGAGTACCCTGTTGACACTCAAAGAATCATTCTAAGTTACAAGTTCCTCGCAGACACAGATGATGACTGAGCATCTCAGTCAGATAGAGGACCAGTTTGCATCCTTTTTCCCCAGTGTGGACATGACAAAGTATCCTTGGGTGCAAGCCTTTCAGTACAAGCCTGATGCCATGGCTCTGCCAGCAGCTGAAAGTGAACAGCTCAGCAAAATTTCCTGTGATCAATTTTTGCAAGGAATATATGCCCAAATGTTCTCTCCCAGAGTTCTGGTTCACTGTCAAGAATGAATATCCTGAACTCTGAATACTCGACTTGAAACTGTCTGGAGTCAAAGGAAACAGTAAGTTTCAAAATGGCATCATGGAAGCAAAAAGTTTGGGAACCCCTGCTTTATAGTATCCTGTTAGGTAGTTCTAAGGGGTAGGTATCAGGAATAGATAATATTTAAACAACTACTCTCTCAGAAGATGGACGAGTGCTCCAGTTTCCATTTCACTCAGGAGAGGTAAAGCAGTAAGTTAAAAACCCAAGGAGGGAGGGAAAAAAAGAAAGGAGAAATATTATTTTGAATAGTCGGTTTCAAACCTGTTCCCAGACTTTCTGATTACCTTTTAAAATCCAGTTCCAATTGTTCAATGAAAGTGACAAAAGGGAAGGAAAACTCTGAATTCAGATCCACACATTCCTCCAAATCTCAAAAAGCAACAAGAAAGTTGCAACAAAATCAATTCTAAGTGTAGGTATAACTGTACATATCTTTTTGTATGAAATGTAATTAAGATTGATGCATGTAAATCAAACTGAACACATTGCCAAAAATAACCATTCAAGGACACTGGGACTAATGCCACCCTTTGTTTTGTCTGAGGGAGGGAAGAGCCATTGGAGTGTCCCTTGGACTAGGATTGGGCGAGGAGGAAGAAACCTTCCACAGATGCTTTCATGTCTCCCATCCAGAAGATCCTCCTTTTGTGTTTTCTCCAAAAGGAGATAGAACACAATTTGTAAAAGAATAAATGGTAGCAGTTGAAGGGACAGGAAGGATAAGGCACAATGGAAAAAAATGGCTTAATACTAACCAGATAAAAACAACATTGTATGGATTAAAAATTGGTTCCTAAAAAGGAACAGGCCATAGCCATGAACAATGAGACTCCTGAGAAACAGTAGGAAGGAATGTACCTCAGGAACCCACGGTTCAAATATCTGATATTCCCATTAATGATCTAGGTTCCGGTTCAATGAAATACTTAAAATACATGCTTTGCTGACTCAGGGCCCTAGAGCAGTGCTGAAAAAATTCACTCACTCAGTTACCACTCGTGAGTGAGAAACTCTCCCTAACCAGCAAAGGACCTATGCCATAAATTTCTAGTTTTTGTGAAAAAAATTAAGTTTCTTGCTCATATAGAACAAATACGAGACTCTGAATTTATACTACTTAGCAAACCAATAATATTCTGAATATTGTTCAGGAAGTTTGTGTGCGTGGAATAAGTACCTGAAATTCTTATATAATAAATTTACAGCATGTGTTACGCTACAGCCATTTGATATTACAGTCAACGTCCATCTGTTCTATAGAAAAAGAGTTATAGATTGCCTGGAGCTTTATAAATCTGTAATTCCAGAACAGCTGCCCCACCAGGCCTCCTGGCACAGGCTTTTATGGTGGAACTAGAATATAAAAACAATAATAAAACACGTTCTTGTATTTTAGCCAAAAAATTCCCCACTTAGCTTAAGAATGAGTTTATTATGGAAGATGTAAATCACATGGTGTATGCGGACTATAAATGACTGATAATTCATGATACAATTTTAGGAATATTTTTATTTTTTCTATTAAAGAGAACAAAAACGGACATCAATAATATTTGATATAAAGATAGTACTTTAATATTACATAGTGTGATATGGTAGCCCTTCCTCGAGCACCCTTCTGCAGCAGGCCATGGCATGGCATGTATGCTTGCCTTGGTTTCACCTTCTTTTGTCAGTAGAAAGGAATAAAGTCTCCCAGTGTCCACTTCAAAGTGCTATCCTTGGACATAATTTATTCACACAAACATGATAATCCATAGAACCCTCATAATAAAACAGCTCTCCACAAAACCCCAAAGTACCACAGGTTCATGGCAGTTTTCCATGCTGCTCGCTCCCAAATCATCATCAAGTCCATCTCCAGTCTATTTCCAGTCTTTTTGCCCTTGTTCTAGGGCTCCATTCTCCAGACGACTCCCCACCTGAGAGTTCCCAGATTCACTCTTCTCCCACTCACACTTGTCCAGTAGCCCCAAGTCAGGTCTCCTGTGACAGAGCTCCCCGCAGTGTTCCACTCAGCCAGGCCTTCCCTGAGAATCCTACCTCCACTCAGGCAACAACCCCGCAGTACCAGCCCCTTGTTCTGGGCTCAGGTTCCTGCTGACTTCCACTAAGGTCTGCTGCAAGGGGCTTCCCACAGTGTTTCACAAACCCAGGCCTCTCTGGTTGAGAATCCTACCCCTGCTCCTGGGACCACCATCCAGCATCAAACCTCTTGTTTCGGGCTATGCTTTCCCAACCAGGCTGGTTCTTCACCTTGTTCCTGTGGCCTCTGCAAGAGCTCTCCTGTAACTCAACAAGGTTCCGCAGCTCCGGCCAGTCCTCACCATTAACTTTCCTCATTTTTTGTTCTTCCCAATGGCTCTCTGTTCCAGTTCTTCTCTGCTGCTCCTATTTCTCCCTGAGTCTCTCCTTCCCTCCTCAGGCAGCTCTCACCTGCCTCTTTCCTGACTGACTCTCCACTGTCTCAGTATTTCCCCATTTTTATACCATCTCTGTGTCTCATTTCCCCATCTGTGAAATGGGGATAATACTATTTCCCTACTTCGAATGGGGGAGGGAGAGGGGTTGTGGATAAATACATTAAATATTGTGGGGTTCTTAGATACCACTGAATTGGACTGTATAAGTGCCTAAAATAAATAAGACAGAATTCCTACGCATGTGCTTGAAGTTAAACATGTGCATATGCATTTTCTGGATCAGGGCTTAAGACAGAAATAACAGAACAAAATGATAAACCGGGGGAGGGAGGGCGGGCCCCTACAGGAAGACAAGGATTAAAAGAGTAAGCGATCATGAGATGATCTTATTCTTATATATGCTGCTTGTGATTTCCCTACTTGCTCTCTAAATACAGAGATTAGATAATACCTATAATTTTTAATACACTGCAATCTGGAGACTCTGTCCCAAATGAAGTCAGAAACTTGTGGGAGGTCAGTGAGAAGGGTTAATATGAATTATAAGAAACTGTTTTTTATACTAGGATTATCAGACATTAATTTATTAGCCAAAGATATCGAACGCTAGTGAAATTATTGATCCAATTCACACCTGAGCATGTTAACCATTCTGGAATGACATTAGCTTTATCCGTTTCCCTCTATTCTCATATCATCAGAATACATTTTTTTCCCTTTTTAAAAAAATACAGCAAAAAATATTTTCTAAGGAATCTGTTTAAAAGCTACATACACATCTAGAAGATGTATGGGAATTTGTTCATGTAAATACCTGCACATAGAGATTAACATCTAACAGGAATACATACTTCCCTTCTATTAAATTCCTGATTAATTCCCACTCAAAAATACCCTGAGGCACAAAATTAACCATTTAAAAATTGCAATTTCCACAGCTACCAATTGTGACATCGGAGGCTTATGGCTTCAGGTCTGGAATAGGTAGCAAGATCATAACTAAAGAAATAAAGAATCCTGTATTCATAAAATATCCTTAATAATACAATTAGTACGAAGTCGTAAAAATATGAACTAGCTGAATTATTTGACTCATACTGACTATAAATCATTTTTCCCATGCTCTCAGGCTCGAATACAGCAAATAAATACTTAAGCAAATGCTTAACTTTACGAACAGTAGCTGTCCTATGACTTCAAGAGATCTACTCACATTCTTGAAGTTAATACAGTAACTCCTCACTTAACGTTGTAGTTATGTTCCTGAAAAATGCGACTAAGTGAAAGGATGTTAAGCCTTACCACACACAGGCACAG